TATCAAACAAACGGTGAGTTATTGCACTACGGGAAACCTTAGCCAGAAAGCTGTCTCTAAGGATTCTTAGGGAGGAAGAATTGTATTCAGATACTTTTAGTCTTTTTTCTTATAAGTCATATCCATACCTGTGTCAAACATGATCTCTTCATGTTAGATAAACTCTCTATCCAAGAGAACTGATATTCTGTTAAGGGAAGGTTCTGACCAAGAAGTCTATAGACAGGTGGTCGCGAAGCCGTGTGGGTCGTAGAGAATCCTAAAGAATTTCAAGTTGTGGAGGTGTTACAGCGTTGACATCCGTCGACGGAACCAGCGTGGTTATCTCAGAATTCTGCGAGGTAAAAATGGTTTATTTTGACAGTGAGTTTTATGTTATGCACAGAGGAAGATATGATAAGTTAAGAAGTAGGAAAGAAAAGCATTAAGAATAAAGATCTTCTCAACCTCTTACTTTAGAATCATGAATGTTTTTTTATGAATATCATAGATAATATTATGATGTTAAACAATCAAATCAAATGATAACACTCAGGTACGTGGTTTAATTTTTAATAAATTAATTACTACACCTCAAAATAAAAGACGTGTTAGATGGCAACAATTTTTGGCTGAATATAATTTTGAGATAGAATATATCAAAAGGATCCAACGATAAAAATAAAAAATAAAAAAAACAATGTCATCCATCGCAGGTTTCTTATCCAGAGAATACAATGGATAAAACAAAAGACAGGTTGCAGGAAGCATTAAGCTTATGCCGCGAAGGACAAGATCTGATAGAAGACGGAAACGTGAAGATAAGAGACGGACAAGACAAGATAAAAGATGGAAACTTCAAACTCATGCAGGGATTTGAAATAATAGATGATGTAATTGAAGAATTGCAGAGCCTATGCCCAGATATCAAAACAATGAAAGCTAAGGAGATGGTAAAAAGATTTGCAGGTGTTGCAACTCCCTCAAGGGAGCCAATGAATATCAAAAAAGATGCAGGTGTTGCAACTCTCTACCGAGGGCAGAAAGGTATGTTCATTGGAGATCTACCTCCTCAATATATTAGCGGCTCAGGCCTGCAAGATACTACGATCATTGCTCGCAAGAATACTACAGAATCTTCGATTCCACAAGAACAGGGAATTTCCGGAGGAAAAAAACTCCGCAAAAGAAAAAGAGATTTTAATACTCAATCTGAGAAAAAGATCAGATCAGAAGCTGATTATGATTTTGAATACAAAAGGATGGGAAAGATATTTTACGAATTAAAAACTTCTGAATTAATCTTCCCAGATCATACGGGTTTATACCCAACGATTAATGTTCTCCAGGGATGCGATCCAATGTTGGTCTTCAACCTTTTTAAATATGGNCACTCAGGTACGTGGTTTAATTTTTAATAAATTAATTACTACACCTCAAAATAAAAGACGTGTTAGATGGCAACAATTTTTGGCTGAATATAATTTTGAGATAGAATATATCAAAAGGATCCAACGATAAAAATAAAAAATAAAAAAAACAATGTCATCCATCGCAGGTTTCTTATCCAGAGAATACAATGGATAAAACAAAAGACAGGTTGCAGGAAGCATTAAGCTTATGCCGCGAAGGACAAGATCTGATAGAAGACGGAAACGTGAAGATAAGAGACGGACAAGACAAGATAAAAGATGGAAACTTCAAACTCATGCAGGGATTTGAAATAATAGATGATGTAATTGAAGAATTGCAGAGCCTATGCCCAGATATCAAAACAATGAAAGCTAAGGAGATGGTAAAAAGATTTGCAGGTGTTGCAACTCCCTCAAGGGAGCCAATGAATATCAAAAAAGATGCAGGTGTTGCAACTCTCTACCGAGGGCAGAAAGGTATGTTCATTGGAGATCTACCTCCTCAATATATTAGCGGCTCAGGCCTGCAAGATACTACGATCATTGCTCGCAAGAATACTACAGAATCTTCGATTCCACAAGAACAGGGAATTTCCGGAGGAAAAAAACTCCGCAAAAGAAAAAGAGATTTTAATACTCAATCTGAGAAAAAGATCAGATCAGAAGCTGATTATGATTTTGAATACAAAAGGATGGGAAAGATATTTTACGAATTAAAAACTTCTGAATTAATCTTCCCAGATCATACGGGTTTATACCCAACGATTAATGTTCTCCAGGGATGCGATCCAATGTTGGTCTTCAACCTTTTTAAATATGGATTTTTAAACCAAGTTTATTTAAGTCCATCCCTGGATGAAATAAAATATTTTCCAAAAAATATCAAAGTTGCAGCTTCAGAACTACAACAAGCAACTTCATCCACGGAGCCTCTGTTTGTCAATGTTCGGTCAGCATGTCCAGAGTATGAAGGCAACAAATGGCATCCTCTGATTTATATTGCTCGCATTGGAGTCTCAACCAAGGATTATAAAGTTACGATGCCTAAAGTTCAGATCTTTAAAGACTATCAAGATGAAATTTTCTCTCCCAAGGAAATTTCGATCAAAAGATCTCTAGGACTCAAGGTTCTCTATGAGCACCTAGAGAAACTTATGAAACAAAATATTTGGGTTGTACAAGCGACAACTGTAGACCTGGTATACACAAGTTGCAGGAAAGAAACCAACTTGATCAACAAACAGCGGATCGAGCAGATCAGAAAACACATTTTCCTCAATCTTATTGGTGGAAGTACAAGAACACACAAAGAGCTATGCCGTGTGTTGAAACATAACAGCTCGTGTGAATATTGTACAAAGGGCAAAGAAGTAATAGCAGAATCAGAAGACGACAAATCAGACTACTGCAGCCTGTAGAGATGTAGAGTGGTCCTCAGAATACTCCCAAGCCGGAAAGGTCAGACGGAATCTCCTTTTTCAGGGGCCGGGGATGATAATAATTGTACTACGGTGAACTTTAGCCAGCCAGCCAGCCAGCTGGGATAAGGTGGGTTAACTCCGATAAAGCGATGTTAATAATGTAGTAGGGTAGGGTCCAAAGCAGACGGAAATTGAAGATCCTTTGTACCGAAACCTGTTTGACGAAGAAATCAATCAAAGAATCTTCTGGCATTTATTCAATATCTATCTATCTATCTATCCTTCAAACTCTTTGTAGATATATCTGTGTGTGCAGACTGCAGAGTGTGTGCATTAAGCTTCAACTTTGCCTCTCTCTCTCTCTCTGTGTATTTATTTATACAGGTGGCTTTTCTGTGTGTTTNAACGCAGTAATATATCTGTGTGTGCAGACTGCAGAGAAGAAAATTAAGCTTCAACTTTGCCTCTCTCTCTCTGTGTATTTATTTATACAGGTGGCTTTTCTGTGTGTTTGCTTCAGCCGGGTGTTTTGAGGGGGGTCTCGTCTCCCGCATATATCCAATTCAAATAAAGGATAGGATTGGTCCAGTATAAGGGTTATCTAATTCTTCCTTTTGTAAATATTTAGCCTGTGTAGAGGCGCTATTTATAACTTTGACCAGCTCCTGTGTCGAGCGAGTAATGCAATTGCTTCGTGGCTGCCGGCCAGGATTTGCCATTATAATATATTCTACCTTAATTTTAATTGTTTTATATTTGGTGACGGTACTATCACTTCATCAGGTTTAAATCTAGGTAGTGAAGCACTACAACAAGTTTCACTCATATTTATTCTTCTTCATATAGAATATTATGACTCTCTATTATTTCTTATGACTAATCTCCCATGTTTGTTATATATATTCTATATGCTTTTCACTTAATCCTTTTCTAGGAATTATAGGTTTAGGATTTAGATCTAGCTCTATCATTTCATTTCTGGATGATGAATTCTTCCAACTGTCTCAAAGATTTTATCTATTTCTATAAATTCTTTATCTGCAAACATTTTTCAACAGGGCCGCCCGGCCCAACAGCATATGTGAAAAAGCTTCGGCTTAGTTTAGTTTAGTTTATAATAACAAACGTTTAGTTTAAACTTAACAAAATAATAATAGTATAATAACAAAGATTATCTCCAACAAAATATAGGTTTATTAACATCTATCTATATCTATATATATAACCTAATCTATACAATAATAAGAAGTTGAAACGCTTGGTTTGGATTGAGAGTTCGTTGATAGAAAATTGTTTAAAATTTTTGGGTATAACTAGCAGCTCATCAGTGCGTATTATTATTATTATTATTATTATGTAATGACTTGATAACTTTAATTTTTTGTGATTCTTTAACAATATTAACAATTTTTTATTTTTAAAAATTACCTATTGTCTCATTATTATACACCTACAAAGTGAACGTGGTTAATTAAAAGAATAAAAACTAACAATTAATCATATTACTTGTTTAGAAGTATTTGTTGTTAAAATTATAGAGTAATCAACTCATTTAAACTCTTTAGACATGTGATAATAGATAATATTTAGAAAACACCCACGTATCTTCCAAGTCAAGAATTTTTGTTGATGTATTACATTGTGTGTGAAAATCAAAAGAAAAGGATAAAGAGTAAAACTAAAAATTTCACTTACTATAAATATTCGCAAAATATTCGTACATTTTATTTAGGAAAAATTTCAGTCATACCCCTTATAGTTTATCATATTTTCAAGGACACCTATCTATTATTAAAAATATCACTAACACTCAGTCTAGTTTATATTTAAACATAATTGACACCCCTATCATTAAACCATCATTTACAACAAATATAAATTATCTAAGATAACGAAATTGCCCCTATATAAACCACAAATAGCCTTTCTACATAAAATTCAATTAAAATTTGAGCCAATTAAAATTTATTTTTTCATATATTAAAATTCGAGCTGATTAAATTTTTTTTTTCTACATATTAAAATTTGAGTCGATTAAAATTCGGTTCGAGCTAATTAAATTTTTTTTATGTATTAATATTCGAGCCTATTAAAAGTTTTTTTTTGCGTATTAAAATTCGAACAAATTTGAGCTCTACTTGAGCTGTTAGCCCTGATTAAAATTCGTTTTGAGTTGATTAAAATTTATATTTTTTATTTATTAAATTTGATTTAAGTTGATTAAATTTTTTTTTTTACGTATTAAAATTTGAGTCAATTAAAATTTATATTTTTTTATGTATCAAAATTCAGGCCAACTAAAATTTAATGCGAGTTGATTAAAATTTGATTTGCCCCCTTAAATAGAATTTTAATTGGCTCAAATTTTAATACATAAAAAATATAATTTTAACTAGCTCGAATCAAATTTTAATTAACCTGAATTTTAATACGTAACAAAATTTTAAAAATAGAGGGAGTTTCATTGAAGATATGTCTATCTAAAAAGAGTGTGGATGAATTTTTTCCTAAAAAATGTCATGGACAATTTAGTAAAGTTACATTGTAATTAATACTTTTAATTTGACAGGTGGTGTCAATGAAAATTCAGAAAACAGAAAGGGTATTCTTGAAGATATGATAAACTAGGAGTATGACTAAATTTATTTATTATTAGATATTTTTGGCATGTATCCGATACATATTTTCGAATATCCGATTAATATCGTATCCGATACGGTATCTGATACAAATATGTCAATTTTAACGAAATATCCGTGTTTCATAGCCACAAAGTATCCAAATATTTTATAATTATCGGATACATAAGAGGAGTATTTGATATGTATCTTCAAATATTTGACAAATATTATATTAAATACGAGTACGTTGATCTCAACAAAATATTCGTATTTCATAGCCCAATGACCAGGTACCCAGATGCACCATGATAAGCTTGCCAACCCTCCCCATTCAAAACAAACCATGCTAAGTATGACAACCAGTGATGTGAAAATTAAAGTGCTCACTCAACAAAACATGGAATAGACTTGAGGAAAACAAAGGGGCTAACATGCCTCGATACATTCAATCTACAAGATGCATAATCAACATTCAACCAGAGAAATGACAAAAGGGAAACACAAAAATGAACACTAAAACAAGAACTCTAAACTTCGCAGTTGTATTGTTCATAACGTGAGAAGAACAGTCCTTTGAACCAGTAAGAGCAAGAGTTGAATCAGAGCTTACCGTCAAGCACGCGAGTCCTTCAGTGTGATATAAATGACCTTACAAAATAAATATCATTTGTCAATAACAAAACAAAATCCTACAATCAAAACAATCAACAATCAGGCAAGTTTACTAAAAATAGACAGAAAACTTTCCCAAAAACAAAGACACTGTTCACTGACTGCAGAATATCCTGCGTCAGATGGTACCATTGACAAAGACTCAGACAAAAGGGGAATTCTACGGTTAAGACTCCGGCACCATACTGCCATTTACTATTTTTATGATAAAATTATAATTCATAAGAGAAAAATTATAACTGTTCAAGGGGAATATGATCGATCACAAATACACGATCATGGACTTTCCTTAAGAAGTTGTAACTTTTTTCTTATGAGTTGTAACTTGACCTTTAAAAGTTATAATTTTGGTATCAATCACAATTTATAATAATCGATAATGACTTTTAAATGTTGTAACTTATATCTCAAAAAAATTGTAACTTAATCTTAAATGATGAAAAATTTTGGTACGATACTGAAGTCGGCACCGTAGCATTCCCCAAGACAAAAATATGCAGTGCCCATATCAGGGTACGAAGATAACAATCATAGCTACCCTGTTCCACATTTTTTAGCCACCAATCTTTATGTCCCCACCTTGTCTGAAATTACTCTTAGCTCATCGCAGGGCCGCCCAGCATCCACCTCCCAAGGGAAAACTGTGGTTAAATTTCACCGTTTGATAAACAAATAGCTGTGTCTGGGGTCTTCTAATCCTCTAGGTTGTAACGTTTTTTGCTGACTTCCAAAAGCAAATCTCTCTTTAGCCATGCTCCAATTCCCTTGGCATATTCCTCATCAAATTCCCTATGGAAAGTGAATCTTTTTGTCTGAAATTACTCGATGCTCATCGCTCAGCTGCCAACATTTACTTCCCAAGGGAAACCTGTGGTTACACTGAATTGCTTTATAAACTAGTACCTGCATGTGTCTGTTGTCTTCTAATCTTCTAGATTGTAATGTTTTTTCTTAATTCCAAAAGCAAATCCCCCCAGGCATATTCCTCATCCAATTCTCAATCCCCATTTTGACCAGGTGGTATTTTTTTAATATGTTACTTTTCATGTTTCTGGTGTTAGCCTGTTTTTGCCATTCTATTGATCCATTGAATTGAAGGCTATTTCCAAGTGTTAGATATCATAACTTCAGGGGAAAAGTAACTATTTCTAAAAGAAGACACAGAGCTATAAAGCCTGGGTGTTTGCAGGAATCAAGGGATCTTAAAGTACCTATTGGAGAAGAGGGTGAACCTACTGTTGGAGGCTATAAGACCCACAAATCCAAGCTGCATCATATGTACTTTCACACGTAGGAGTTCGAAGATTCACAAAGGAACTTGAAATAGTGGCAAACTGAATAAACAAGGGGGAGATTAGAAGACCTCTGTTTATTAAAGATTGTTTAAAAGATCACTTAAATAAATCTTTCTCATCCCCTATATGACAAGAACTCTACGCATGCAGGGTGGACAACCAATTTGCTGTGGACTCTGGTGTAGTTCAATTAAAATTCTTATCTCCATACGTTTTATTTAGAATTTCTAGTAACACAAGCTCATATTTATGTTATGAACAAGAATATTTCGAAGTCTTCATTAAGGATGCTTCCAGTTTAAGACAAACTGACATTAGTATATTAGGAAACTGGAACTGTCGAGTACAAAAAAAGAGGACACACTCCTTCCACATAGGAATTCAAAGTACTAAAATAGAGCAATGCTATTGAGATTTAATTTACTGATATAATTTGTTGACCTAATTCATTGTGACCTTTAGATTGATTGTAAGCCCGTCAAATATTAGAACTTGGTGTCGATCCAATAATTCTTATAAAGCCACATCATTATGTCAGCAAATTAAGTCAGATTTTTAAGTCTAAATAGCATTATTTATTAAAACACGAGAATCTGTTCAAAGCTTCTCATTCACAAGTTTCATACTTCAAGAACAAAGAGGAATGCTATGGAATCCAAGAAAAACCCACGTATTCTATCAACTCAACATAGTTCTGTTGTAAAATTTGAAATTGTGTTTCTGCATGTGCTTAATCATTTTGAGCTGAAGCATAAAAATGTTGGGAGACTCTTAGTATATTCTTCTTCTCTTCTTNTATGTGCTTAACCATTTTGAGCTGAAGCATAAAAATGTTGGGAGACTCTTAGTATATTCTTCTTCTCTTCTTACTAGCGAACACTAAATGTCATCCACAAACTCGACCCTACCCCTTCTAAGCAGCCTCAAAATTTTCCCATACTAACCTTTGGCCTTCAATTTAACACCAAAACAGCCTGAGAGTCTTCTTGTCCCAAAATCTATAACCTATCATTTAATAAAAATACAGTGCGGACCACTTTTTCATCCACACACCATACATCTTCTTTTGACCTCACAAAATTCTAAGCCTAGAGACTTTCTAATTTGCACGACCAAAGCCTGCCATCAGACTGGTTGCAACCTCAATTATGACAAGGATCATTATTATACTAGCTAATTTGAAAAGTGAGGAAAGCAAATTGGTGGATTCCATAATATAGATTTCAGGCAAATAGTGGGAGCAGTAGCAGATAGGACAAACTTAAGAAAGGGTCTCGGATCTCCCATCAAAGTATAGCAATTAGGAAACAACCTCCATAAGAGTGCTCCCGTTTGTTTGTGTACGCATCATGTATACTAAAGGATCATATTAACAAAATAAAGAACTAGACAATATATGAAGCATACACAACCCCTCGGGGTTGACAGGATGACATGGAGATTATTATTACGCTCAAGTTGGTGGAAAGCTTGATCACGGCTAAAACTGTCGCCAAAAAAAAAAATTAGTGATTTAATAGATCTATTTAGAGGGAGTGTACATAATAGTTAAGGTATGATGGTTCCCATAGAATGATCTGTGAAGAAGACAATTCAACAACTTAAACGTCAAGATCCTATGAATTGGAAAGGTACAATTTCGCGAATGAAATGTTGAGATTCTATTTTTGGCTCCCTGATAAGCTTCGCTTGTAATGGATATTGGACCACTTCCAATTCAGAGGCTGGAGGTCTGAATTCGAGGATCCTTTTTACTACCCGCACAGACTTCGCTGTGGACTTGCTCGATACAACACTCTTGTGGGTTTAGTCATGTAACCACGAAACTAGTTGGATGCTAAAAGGTCTGGACACATCTTCAAAAGGCAAAAAAAAAAGAAAAATAAAAAGGAAAAAATTGCCTAAAACAGAAAAATCTAATAAACGTACAAGTATGAACACTAAATATGCGAATGGAATCACCAGCTTCACCAGACACCACCTCCAACAAATACACAACTAATCAAACAACAAATGCAAAGCAACATGCACTACCAAATTGAAATTAAAACCCAGACATTGTAGAATCTCCAACAAAACATTCTAACCATATCATTCATTAAAAAAGAATAAATTGGAACGCACCAATTGCTTCAGCATCGGATCCTCCTTCGCCATCAACATCGGGAAGACCTGAAATCAAAAATAGAAGGGCAGATAAAAACAATTGTATTCATATAGCTAGTGAGAGAGAAGTGGGTGTTAGAAGGACCTTCTTTGTCTACAGTGATTTCCTGTATGAAGTCATTTTCATCGAGGAATACCTCGCCATGATCTTCTTTGTCATTGGCTGGGGCATTCATTTTCTCTCTCCCCTATTGATGGAGCTTTTGGAAGTGCAAGCTGCGATTGCTACAGAGGGGGTTATAGAGGGTTTGTACTAAGAGTTGAGTGACTGACGGGCTAACGTTGACAACATTTGAGTTGGCTCGCCCGCGTTGTGTCTGAAATTTCTTTTTATATTTTTTTTTTCAGCTGAATTTTAGAAATAACAAGATTATCATTCACCATTTCAGTAAACCTTGAGGGATTGAGATATATTTTCATTAACCACAATAAATTGGTTCAAATTAATTAAGGGATACTCCAGTCCCTTTTGCATGGTGAGAATTTATTCATGTCAGCAAATTCAATCTGTCTTAAATTTTTTAAGATTTGAAGTACTTATTTGAATTTAAAATTTGATGACATGAATAGATCTAAATTTGATGCTCCTCCAACCATTTTGTAATTATAGAGGAGTCAAACCCCAATCTCGGAAGTGGTTTTTCACATGTTCAAATTTGGGGATAAATTGGATAAAAGAAAAAATTCCTTCAATGTTCTTCATTCTTTTCTCTCTCAATTCCCAAAAATTCGATAACATTATTCCAACTTTGATGCAATAAAATTGTTGAAATAACCAACATAAAAGAGGACGAAAATATGTCAAGGTTTAAATATTTTCTTGAATGGTGAGCACAAAAATATCACCCAATAATAAAATGACACATGATAGAGTCGTCTAAGGATTGGGGGATATCAATTATTAAGTTCAATGTTGAGCACAATTCACAGTTCAAATTGAGGAATTATAATTGAACACAGAGGGCAATGACAATCCAATCAATTTCCCAAAAGTGAAATTCAATTACTTACCGGATAAAAAAAAAAAATAAAGACATTACTGGCCTGAAGGTTCAATACAATACAATATAGAAATTGTCAGGACAAAATTATATGATTGATGACATCAAATTGGGGAAAAAAAGAAAATCCAAGAAGCTTGAAATTAAAACAATCTCATACTGCGAGTTGAACATCGCCAAGATCAAGCTGAGCAGCAATCTCTTCAAGCTGTTTCTTCACACTCATATCAATCAACTTTGAAGCCCCACTTCCATACCTAATCGTGAATCCAGCAACCAACGACTCATCAATCACAGTCTTAATCCTCACATTCTTCGATCCAGTAAGTTTCTGAACTCCTTTTGCTATCTGCGCTAAGTGTTGCGACCCCAATTGCACCACTGACGTAACTATCACCAGCTCCGTATCCGTCAATTTGTTATAAGCAATCTCAAATTCCTTCAGAATCTCGCTAATAAGGTCGATTCTCTTCATATCTACTAAAATATTTAGGAAATTTGAGGTATGAGGTTGAAGATTTGAGGAACTGATGATTTCGTCGAGGACATCACGTTTTTTGGCGATGTCGACAGTGGGATTTGAGAAGAAGTAGAAGACTTCAGAGTCGGAGAAGAATTTCTCCACCTTTTCCATGTCGGCCGAGGTGGCTTCTAGGGTTCCATTGGAATTCGCCACCTCAGCAAGGGCGTTGGCGTAGCTTCCTGCGGCGGAGTCGGCCATTCTGGCACCGTGACGGCGGGGTCTTCCGGCGACCTTGACGGTGATTTTTGGGAGTTTGAGTGACTTGAAACCTCCAGAAAATGAGAGGTTTGTTGTTCTTCTGGCTATAATTTGGGTTGATGGTGGTGATCGGGATTGAAATGTGATCGGAGTTTGTTGTAGAGCAGCCATTGTTGCAATCGGAGGGAGAGAGAGAGAGGGGTGTGGATTCTGCAAATTTTGTTTCGTTGGTAAGAGGTTTTTGATAATATTGGACGGTTAGGATTGTAAAGGATATAATGATCAGCGGTGAAGAAGAGATTGATTATATTTCATTGGGGAATGATGGCCTCTCATCTGGAGCAGATAACGAGTTGGCAAATGTGTGCCACACATTGGAGGGTAGAGGAGCTGAGGAACACAACCGTATTAAAATTTATAATTTTTTAATTGGATAATTAAACTCAAACCTCTTAAAATTTGTTACTTAATTACTAAGGCTCTTTAATATTTAAAATATTATACACAAACCCTTTAAAGTTTGTACGCGCGAAACATTATACTAATTAGATCCCTAAAATTTGTAGATATATACTAATTAGATCCTTTAAGTTTAAAATATTATACTTAGATAAAAAATATTTCAATCAAAGATAGAATATCAAATATTTTAAATTTTATAATTAAAATTCATGTTTTATTGTATCATTTATTGAAATAAGATTAAAATTTTAATTATAAAATAGAACATAAATTTTAATTATAAAATTTAAAATATTTAATATTTTATCTTTAATTGAAATATTTTTGATCTAAATATAATATTTTAAAGTTAAAGAATTTAAATAATATATGTTTACAAATTTCAGGAGATGTAGATATAATTTATTAATAGATATATTTATAGTAGGGTCTAAGCGTTAGACACACACAAATTTTAGAAGATTTGTATATAATATTTCAAATGTCAAGAGTTTGAGTGATTAAGTGACAAATCTCAAGAGATCTGTGTATAATTCTCTCCTTTTTAAAATAAATTTTTGATTTAATATAGTTATAATCTCAAAATGTCAAACATAAAAAATAAAATTATAACTTTTAGAGTTGTAATTATAATGACTATGGTAATTATGATCAATCATGATATATCATGATCGGGTATAAGTTATCTAAGTTAGAGTAGAATTTTACCAAAATGTCCTCCTCCAAACAAAGTTCATATTAGACCGCACTTATAAACCAATTTTTTTTTTATAACCCCGGGCTAGAGATGCACGGAGCATCGCCTATAAACCAAATTCTAGATCTATATAATTCCCCTTTAGTTATAAATATTTGTGCGTCCAACGGTCACTAATAAAAGTTGAATCCAAAATATTTAAATTTATAATTTATTATAAATTCTGATTCAATTTTAAACTTGACAAGTCTTTTGAAATTAAATCGTGAGACATTTATTCTTTATAAACTCTCTAATCTCGTCGTAAATAACCTATATTTGATCAACGTGAATGACCTGCAACTAATTGAACATCCTTAATTGCAATACCAAAAACATAAATAAATTATGCATGGTTTTTGTAGCGGGAAGTAAAAAAAAAAATGTTCTCTCATTTGTGATTTGTTTGCAAAAATGTAATAATAAAATTTATATCAACACTATAATGGTTACCTAGTTTTTACTCCTACTAGTCCTTCAATTATCATAAATACATCAAATCATTCGGTATAAAAAATTTAATAAGGTTCAACTTTATTAAAATTTTCTGGGAAAAAAATTAAATATTCACAATTAAAGTTTGGAAGGGTATAATATCGGGTGCAGCTCCTCTAAAGTTACCCCAAAAACAGCACACAGTGCTGTTTACCGAATACGGCACCGTTTCGATAACTTTTGCACAGTTAACACTCTTATTCACCCAAACGGCACCGCTTCAATTTATTCTGTACAGTAAATAATGGGTTAATTGCCCTAGAGTTTTCCAAATATAAAATTTGTTTTATTTTGATCTCTAATGTTTCAATCGCATCATTTTAGTCCTTGAAGTATTGAATATATTTTTATATGGTTCTTCAAGCAGACAACGTTCAGATTGCTAATAATTTTTTATCATAAACTTATCGCGTAATATTTAAATATGGACGAAAAATAATTTTGATAACTCTTAAATAAAATTTGGGTACCACTTGATAAAAAAGTGTAATATGGGTAATTTTTGACCAAAATTTTGATAACTCATAATCAAAATTTTGTAATTTGAGTAGTTATTTAATCAAAATTTTAATAGAAATTTGGTCAAGAATTATCCAAATAATTTTTTTGTCTATATTTAAGTATCACGTGATAAATTTATGATAAAAAAATCATTAGCGATCTAGATATTATTTGTTTAAAGGGTTATATAAAAATATATTTAATATTTTAAGAATTAAAATGATGCAATAAAAATATTAGAGAATAAAATAAGATAAACTCTATACCTTTGGACTTCGGATACAATTAACCTATAAATAATCAAACAACTTTCCCCAAACACAAGCCCTTGCTCGACCCAAGTTCTTGACACTACATTTGCTTGTTAGGATGAATAGACTTCGCAGCCATAGCATAGCAGATCGATTTTCTTTCTCCGGCTTGAGATGCCTCCTTCAATACTCAACATCTACGGCCCATTTCATGGTGGATTACCTCATCGACTCACTTGGGTTCTCAAGAGAAGAAGCAATCTCAGCATCAACAAAGGTAACTCATTTGAAATCCCCCAAGAACCCTGATTTAGTTCTCAATCTCCTCAAACAAATTGGTTTTGACAACACCCAGATCAAAAGCATTGTTTTTTCTGCACCTACACTCTTATCATCTGATGTAGACAAAACCCTCAAACCCAAAATTAGGGTTCTTCAGGACCTTGGCTTATCCGGGTCAGACCTAGCAAAGTTCATCAAGGGTAATCGAGGCCTTTTTAACAGAGGATTGGACACCCATATCATACCATCTCTTGACTACCTCAGAAGAGCACTGCGGAGTGATGAAAATGTGATTAGAGCTCTGAAAAGATCCCAATGGTTACTAACATGTAATACCCTTAAAAAAATGCCACCCAATGTGTTATTGTTACGAAAATGTGGGTTGTCAATTGAGAAAATTGAAAAATTTATAATTAATAACCCAAGATACGTTCTACAAAAGCCTGAGTGGCTTGAAGAGATAGTGCATAGGGTTGAAGAGGAGTTGGGGATTCCTCGCGTCTCTCGGATGTTTCTCTATGGTATTGATGCTCTCGCTTCGAGTAGTAAGTCGACATTAGAAAGGAAGTTTGGAATCTTTAGGAGTTTTGGGTGGTCTAATTCCGAAATAAGTACAATGGCAAGGAACTTACCTTATTGTTTAAGCCTGTCGGAAGCTAAAATCCGAAATGCATTGAATTATTTCATGAAGGAAATTGGGTATGCACCTGGATACTTGGCTTCTCACCCCAAGCTTTTAATGCACAGTTTGGAGAAAAGGGTGGTGCCTAGGAATGAAGTCTTGAAGATTTTGATTGAGAAGAAACTGAATAAGAGTAAACAAAGTCTTTATGCAGTTGTGTGCTTAACTGAGTCGAAGTTTATAGAGGATTATGTGCTGCCCTACAAGAACAAGATGCCGGATCTGTATGGAGCATACAATAACAGAATGAGACAATAATAGAGGGTCAAAGAATTTCTTTTCCCTTACATTTTTGAGGTAAGGAACTTGTTGTAGTTTGTTCAATTCGAATTTTGTAAGTTGAAGCAATTCAAATCACTTGTTAATGCTATTCTTCCTTGAATTATTTTTGCTATTAATTCACTCTATAATGCACCATCAGTGTCTCACCATTTATATTGTAACTGAAAGCAAAAAAGTTAGAGAGTCGAAAGTGCTTTCAGAATTGGTGTAGGGAAGGATTAGAAGGGAAAAGCTCTTTCCGCTTAGCCACATCAATTACATGAGAGTCTAAATGGAGATCATGGGACTTAAAGTTGGCTTGAGTCAAGGATATCACTTTATTTTATTTTTTTGGATCTATTTTATTCCACCCTGTGTTACTGGATAAGTATTGCAATTAACCAAATGAAGGAATGAAAAAATGTCAGTCAAAGTTGCTGTTTTTCAAGTTGGGGACAAAGAGGATAGAAGAGGCCAGAAATTCTTGTTGCTAGTGCACCTATACTTGAAGCCACATCTGAAACTGAAAGAGAGGGTGTCAGCTCATCAATTTTGTCCCAATAGCATTATATCTGCTTGCACCTCGATGCTTGAATCACATAGTAAAACCAAGGTAAAACGTATCACTTCTTTCACAAGTTTGCATGAGTTTGATACACGTATTGATCGCGGAGGCACTCTCAGTTTCTCTATCTTCACATCAAGATGTTTAGAGCACAAAAGTGCCAATTAAACACCATCTAAGGTTGGAATTTGAAGTTTAGTGTATTTTTTGGCTTGCACATTGTGAACATAAAGCTCAGAAAGCCAATGTTAACAATCTTGGTTTTAATACAATGTGTGATTCATCACTAATTTTGATGAAATTAGTCCTAGGCCTGGTACATCGATGCCATTTATTTATATGCCCGCCTATGTGGGAATTCCTAGGAGGAGTCTTGGAATTTTGCTCGTAGTTCAAGGGAAGTATATAGTCTATCGCCAAATGGCAGAGTTGGTATTAGGCTTCCCCTCCCCTGTTCCAACCCCGAACCCCAACTCTTCTTCATTTAGCTTGTCTTGATTTTCTCATTTCTCCTTTTTTACCTAGTGTAGGAAGGGGGTTATTGAGATCTGTAACATAGACCAAAAAATGTAGGAATCATGCACGAAACGAGAAAGGAATGCCTTTTAAACAACTAGAAAAGTTGTAGCAGCTAGAAGAATAAGATCTGCAGGCTTCCCAAATGAACAGATTATAAATACATAGCCAAGAATACTCTCTGAAACAGTGAAACTATGTGCTGGCTATATGGCAAATCTCTCTGTATATCAATTCGCCTGCATGCCTTTCATGAAAATTCCACCTCCTCTTCCCTATGCCAGGCATGGTAAGTCAAAAGTAGTCCACCTTACTTTCTGAATTGTGGAGGGAATTTTTTTCGATCTAATGTTGTTTTCTGCCATGCTTGCTATGTCTTCATTTTGTCCTTTTTTTTTTCTTCTGATCATACTGGGGATGATGACGATGAAGCAGTAACAGCGGAAGGAATTGATCGGCTCAATGATCAATCAATATACTTAGTAGAAAATGCATTCTGTGATCGGTCATCATTTCTGCTGCCTAAAACCAATCACAATGATGGTCCATGGTGGTTCCTGTGAAGCGCTTCCTATAGACATAACATGGGTCCCCCCCCTCTTCGGCAGAAGGAGGAGCAGCAGGGCACATCCTTAATTAGGGACAATCAATTATGATGATGCATGTATGGTAGAAAATAAAGCATCGAAAGAAAGGTGAAGAGAAACTTTAATAGAAACACAACAGAGCGCTTAAATGAAGGATAGACATGAGACGTACATAAAATCAAGCACACAAATTTTTACAGCTCACCCAACATCAACAACAGAATACATAAAACCTAAGAAGAGCAATAAGCCGAATTCTACACATCACCTCCAAGTACAAAAGGATTTCTATTCATCAGACTGTTCAAATGGAACGACTTAGGAAATACAACTTTGAGGTCCTAAGTTTGATTCTTACGAGAGTTTGCTTTACACGAAATTCGTGATTTGCAACAAATTTGTTTATCCAAAATTTGTATTGTAAATATGAGTCAAAACGATATGTTGAAACATGCTTAGTCATAACTAACGTAGCTTAAATTTTGTCAAACTTGGAAATGCAGAACTAGTCAAGGAACTCTTCGAGGATAGACTTGAGAGAAACCAAGATTTTATGTAGTTAAGAAGATTCCAATCCTCTTAATCTCAGAAATGTCCTTCGATGGAGGGATGAGAAAATTTTCATTTTAGCATATGGTTTACACAACCAAGACTAATTTCATCCTCAAAACAGAGCGTAGTTATGTCCTAGGGGGGTCATGGTCGCCATCAATTTTTGAAAATCTTATTGTTCAGTCACTGCTTAGAAAGTGGCCCCATTGGGATTAGCTATTGATTGCGACTACTAGTGTAATCAAATATTCAAATGTACCTACATAGACGTTAAACTTGAGCAAGCACATGTATTATGTATTCTACTTTTAGGTGAACTCAAGTAAATGATAATTACAACGACCCCAGATACTGCCAAAGCATTTATGCCAAGAGAGAAACACATACGTTAAAGAAATCCCTTTGCAAGTTTTCAAACCATTGAAACTTCATGAGTTATCAATGTAAATGTTGTGATATTTCCTTGTCATCTCTTACTTGTGCCTTTGAGTGACTTATTCCTATATAAAGCTTCATTTGAATCTACTCTTACTCAATGTTTAATTGTTTACATGTGATTGAGAGAAATGAGACCAATGAGATACTGGAGGATACCAACACCCGCTCATTCATTTTCATTCACCATTTTCCCCTGGTTACCTCTCTCTACAAATTTTCATTTTCTTGTCATAATTCCTTTTTTATGCAAGTTACCAAAAATAAATTATGTCACACTACCTAAATTTCCTATTTGTTCATATCTTGCATGTTTCTGAGCGTAAACTCATCTAATAGGGATCATATTACATTTTTTTAGTTATTAATGTCTTTGAATTTGTCTCTTTTTTATTATCCTATAGATTTATTTTATTTTATTTTGGGGTGAGGGTGAGGGTGAGGGTGAGGGTGAGAGGAGAGAGACTTGAACCTTTGACCTAAAAAAAATAAAACTTTCACAAGATAAGAAGTACCATTGAATCAAAGACCCGTCGGTAATTATCCTATAGATTGTATCATCCTCTTATCTATATAACAAAATCTAATCATAATTCAAAACATAACCCTTCACAAATCAATTGGGAAACTTTTCACAACAATAATGCTCCATTTGACCCTTTGCAACTAAGCAAAAGCCAACGGAAAATAGCACAATATGGTTTCGTTTCTTAGACTTCACGCAGCACTCCCCTTCCTTCACATCACCCATTCAAGATTTCTAAATAGGCCAAAAACACTGATCACACATTACGCAGCATTACGGGCCAATCCATGAGCCCAAAATATCAAAATAAATATTAGAGGAATTAAAAAAAAAACTAAAACTTTCACATTCTCAAAGCAATCTAAGTAAAAAAGTTAGGCACTAAAAACTTAAAGGTTAAAAAAAAAACTTCATCTAAGCACCAAGCTGGTGCCAAATGTATAACATTGATTAAAATTAGTGCACGTCCACACAATTGTATTATTACAACGCATCAAAACTATATGGTAAAACCCACAGAAATATGGCAAAACCAATATCTATACCCAAATAAGCAAATTTTATGAAAGTGATGTAATAAAAAAATTATTGGGTATTAAACCACATACAATTACGGATCGAGAGTAAAACTAATCAAAAACCAAAATAAAAGAGCAAACAAAGAAACAAATTCACTTAGGACAACATTCATGCAGTTCACCTTATTAACCTATTAACACGTCCAACTCAGAATTTCAGCCATAAAAACCAAAAGAATATCAGTTGAAAGTTTAGAGAGAAAAAACATGGGCTTGATTTGAGATTGTGCTTGCTTAGATAACTAACCGTTGGCAAATCTAGATCCTTATGTAGTTTATCTTTAATTGCCATCCTATTAATTTATGCTAATTACTCGTATGAAATTTTTCTATATTAATCATATACCGACGGATGATTGTCAGATACTCTGTCTTCACCAGCCGTTTATAAAACGAGGGTACGTAACTTTTTTTTTAAGAGTTTTTATTTTTACTTATGTGCATGATTTGTTATATCATTCAGATGTGGCACCTCATTGAGAGTGGCAAGTTCTGTCTATTTGGGGCTGCATGTTTTGACATGCATTCCCCAAATGAGAGGGACACTGGAGTATGCTTACTGTACCGCTCCACAGGTAGGTGCTACTTCCCGGATTCAAGGCATCCCTACGCCACTTCTGTACGTGCCTCGTAGGTCAAGGGAGTAAGATTTGGCAGCAACGGAGGGAGCAGGATTTGGCAGCTAAGCAAATACTTTATGTATAACGGTCTCAATTGAACCTTCTTATATTCTGTACGTAGNGCTTAAATGAAGGATAGACATGAGACGTACATAAAATCAAGCACACAAATTTTTACAGCTCACCCAACATCAACAACAGAATACATAAAACCTAAGAAGAGCAATAAGCCGAATTCTACACATCACCTCCAAGTACAAAAGGATTTCTATTCATCAGACTGTTCAAATGGAACGACTTAGGAAATACAACTTTGAGGTCCTAAGTTTGATTCTTACGAGAGTTTGCTTTACACGAAATTCGTGATTTGCAACAAATTTGTTTATCCAAAATTTGTATTGTAAATATGAGTCAAAACGATATGTTGAAACATGCTTAGTCATAACTAACGTAGCTTAAATTTTGTCAAACTTGGAAATGCAGAACTAGTCAAGGAACTCTTCGAGGATAGACTTGAGAGAAACCAAGATTTTATGTAGTTAAGAAGATTCCAATCCTCTTAATCTCAGAAATGTCCTTCGATGGAGGGATGAGAAAATTTTCATTTTAGCATATGGTTTACACAACCAAGACTAATTTCATCCTCAAAACAGAGCGTAGTTATGTCCTAGGGGGGTCATGGTCGCCATCAATTTTTGAAAATCTTATTGTTCAGTCACTGCTTAG